GCTATTCCAGTTAGCTGTTCATTCAGGATATTGTGACTGATTATAGAGGTGGGTTATTATAACAGGTCAATAGGAATAGTTTAAAAACCGATTGTTTCATCAGGTCATTTACTCAAGCCAATTGTTGTGGTCGGTTATTACATCAGACTATTACGAAAATGTTATACAGTCTAGTTAAGACAGGTTATTAGAGTGGGGGAATTACGAATTACGAACGCCTGTTATACAGGGTGTTACAGCATGCTTTTGTGCTAGATATTCCCTGGAACTACTGCAAGCTGGGTGGACCGTCTGCATGTGGATGCCTGGGCATGGTGCCAGGCCCGTCACTATATGGGTGTTTTTATTTTTAATAATACGGATGGCTAGTGTGGTGAATTATTTGGTTGTTCAGGCGGGTCACCTGAGGAGGTGATTAAAATACTGGGTTCAGGGTTTTATTAACCAGGAAGAGTCATGGTCTGTGTGTGGGGTCACCCGCTGGGGACACGAAGGTCCTCAGGTCGACCCCACGTACCAAAAGCTCTTCCTTTTCCCTTAAGTCAACATTTTATTATAATTTTCCAAAACACGTAATAAACTCATGAACCGAACATGTTGAATAAAGTCCTGAAATGTAGATTAAACATAAAGTCATCTCAGAAGTTTGGCTTCAATAATAATTAGAAGCGACTAAGAACAAAAGATATAATTGGGGTTTAAATGACCCCAGCTGGGTGGACAAGCTGTATATGGGTGCCTGGGGTATAGTGTCACTATAGCTGAGTTGTAATCTTCCCAATATTTTACCTTTCTTATCAAACTAAGAGTTTCTGGCCCAGTGACAGTGTCAGTAGAGTGGGTTGTGCGCCGCGAAAACTGTAAGTTATTATGGAGGATTATTGTGGTGGATTTTTATGGAGGGTTATGGTGGTGGATTACTATGGAGGGTTATGGTGGTGGATTATTATTGAGTGCTATTGTTGTGGATTATTATTCAGGGTTGTGATTGATTATTTTGGAGGCTTATTGTGGTGTATTATTAAAGTGGGTTATTGTGGTGGATTATTAAGGAGGGTTATTGTGGTGGATTATTATTGAGGATTTGTTAATGGATTATTATAAGACGTTATCGTGTTGGATTATTCTAATGAACTATTTTCGTGAATTATTATTTTGGAGGGTTATTTTGGTGGATTATATAACAGAAGGTACTGTGGTGTATTATTATGATGGGTTATTTTGGTGGATTATTATGAAGGTTTATTGTGGTGGATTATTGAGGATTATTGTGGTGATTATTATAAAGGTTTATTGTGGTGGAACATTTTGGTGAGTTATTAGGTGGATTATTTTGGAGGGTTATTGTGGGGAATATTAAGGAAGGATATTGTGGTTGATTATTTTGAATAGAAAGGTTATCATGGTGAATTGTTATAGAGGGTTATCGTGGTTATTATCATAAAGGTTTATTGTGGTGGATCATTTTGGGTAAGTTATTAAGTGGATTATTTTGCAGGATTAATGTGGTGAATTGTTTTGGTGGAATATTTTGAAGGATATTTTGTGGGATTATTATAGTGGGTTATCGTGATTCATTATTTTGCTAGATTAATTTCATTCATGAATATGGAGGGTTATTGTGATGGATTAATATTGAGAATTATTGTGGTGGATTGTTATGTAGGGTTATTGTGGTGAATTATTACTGTGGGTTATTGTGGTGGATTATTATGGAGGGTTATTGTGGTGGATTATTATGGAGTGTTATGTGGTGGATTATTATGAGGGTTATTGTGGTGGAATATTATTGAGGATTATTGTGGTGGTTTATTAAAGGATTATTGTGGTGGATTATTATAGTTTATTGGGGTGGATCATTATAGTGGATTATTATGGAGGGGTGGATTATTATGGAGGGTTATTATTATGGAGAGTTATAGTGGTGGATTATTTTGGAGAGTTATTAGTGGTGGATTATTAATATGGGTTATTGTGGTGGATTATTATTGCCAGGCCCGTCACTATATATGTGTTATTATTTTTAATAATACGGATGGCTATTGTGGTGAATTATTTGGTTGTTCAGGCGGGTCATATGAGGAGGTGAATAAAATACTGGGTTCAGGGTTTTATTAACCAGGAAGAGTCATGGTCTGTGTGTGGGGTCAGCCGCTGGGGTCACGAAGGTCCTCAGGTCGACCCCACGTACTAAAGATCTTCCTTTTCCCTTAAGTCAACATTTTATTATAATTTTCCAAAACACGTAATAAAATCATGAACCGAACATGTTGAATAAAGTCCTGAAATGTAGATTAAACATAAAGTCATCTCAGAAGTTTGGCTTCAATAACAATTAGAAGCGACTAAGAACAAAAGATATAATTGGGGTTTAAATGACCCCAGCTGGGTGGACAAGCTGTATATGGGTGCCTGGGGTATAGTGTCACTATAGCTGAGTTGTAATCTTCCCAATATTTTACCTTTCTTATCAAACTAACAGTTTCTGGCCCAGTGACAGTGTCAGTAGAGTGGGTTGTGTGCCGTGTAAACTGTAGGTTATTATGGAGGGTTATTGTGGTGGATTTTTATGGAGAGTTATGGTGGTGGATTACTATGGAGGGTTATTGTTGTGGATTATTATTCAGGGTTGTGATTGATTATTTTGGAGGCTTATTGTGGTGTATTATTAAAGTGGGTTATTGTGGTGGATTATTAAGGAGGGATATTGTGGTGGATTATTATTGAGGATTTGTTAATGGATTATTATAAGACGTTATCGTGTTGGATTATTCTAATGAACTATTTTCGTGAATTATTATGGAGGGGAATTGTGGTGAATTATTACGGTGGGATATTGTACTGGATTATAACAGAAAGATATTGTGGTGGTTTACTTTAGAGGGTTATTGTGTTGGATTATTATGGATGCTTATTGTTGTGGATTATTTTGTCGGATTAATATGATGGATTAATGTGGTGGAATATTGTGGTGGATTATTGTGTTGGCTTATTGTAGAAGGTTATCATGGTGGATTATTGTATTGGATTATTGTAGGTTATCATGGTTGATTATTTTGGTGGATTATTCGTGTGGATTACTTAGAAATGTTATTGTTGTGGACTATTTTGGAGAGTTATTGTGCTGGATTATTATTGAGAATTATTGTAGTGGATTTTTTTCAAGATATATTTTGGTGGATTTTAATGGAGTGTTATTGGTGAAGATTATTTTGGAGGATTATTTTGGTGGATTATATAACAGAGGGTACTGTGGTGAATTATTATGATGGGTTATTTTGGTGGATTATTATGAAGGTTTATTGTGGTGGATTATTAACGAGGATTATTGTGGTGATTATTATAAAGGTTTATTGGGGTGGATCATTTTGGTGATTTATTAGGTGGATTATTATGGAGGATTATTGTGGTGATTATTATAAAGGTTTATTGTGGTGAATCGTTTTGGTGAGTTATTAGGTGGATTATTTTGGAGGGTTATTGTGGGGAATATTAAGGAAGGATATTGTGGTGGATTATTTTGAATAGAAAGGTTATCGTGGAGGATTATTATAGAGGGTTATCGTGGTTATTATCATAAAGGTTTATTATGGTGGATCATTTTTGGTAAGTCATAAGTGGATTATTTTGCAGGGTTAATGTGGTGAATTGTTTTGGTGGAATATTTTGAAGGATATTTTATGGGATTATTATAGTGGGTTATCGTGATTCATTATTTTGGTAGATTAATTTCATTCATGAATATGGAGGGTTATTGTGATGGATAATTATGGACGGTTATTGTGGTGGATAATTATGAAAGGTTATTGTGATAAATTATTTTGGAGGGTTATTGTAATGGATAAATATTTATGGATATTGAGGGGGATTATTATTCAGAATTAAAGTGGTGGATTATTATTATTTCCTTATGGAAAAACAAGAGGATTTTTGTGTGGGATTATTATAGAGGGTTACCCTGATGGATTATTCTGGTGGATTATTCTCGTGGGTTATTCTAGAGGGTTATTTTAGTAGATTAGTTTAGAGAGATATTGTGGTGGATTAATTTTGTGGGATTTTGTGTTGGTTTAATACGGATTTTGGTGAATTATATGGTTGTTCAGGCAGGTCACATGAGGAGGTGAATAAAATACTTGGTTGAAGACTTTATTAATCAGAAGGAATCAAGGTCAGTGTGTGGGGTCACCCGCTGGGGTCCCGACGGTCCCCAGGTTGACCCCCACTTTAGCCTCATATCTTCTTCTTACTTTAAGTCAATATTTTAATAAAATTTCCAAAACACGTAATAAACTCAGCAATTGAACATGTTGAATAACGTCCTGAACACCAGATGAAACATAAAGTCTCCTCAGAAGTTTGGCTTCAATAACAATTAGAAGCGTCTAAAAAAAAAAAAGATATAAATGGGGTTTAAATGACACTTATTATAAGTTTTTATTCATATTGTAAGTTATTATTGTGAGTTATAATTAGAACAGGCTATTCTCGTAGCGGTTTTTTTTTGCAAATTAAGATTGCTTGATGCTATTCCAGTTAGCTGTTCATTCAGGATATTGTGACTGATTATAGAGGTGGGTTATTATAACAGGTCAATAGGAATAGTTTAAAAAGCGATTGTTTCATCTGGTCATTTACTCAAGCCAATTGTTGTGGTCGGTTATTACATCAGACTATTACGAAAATGTTATACAGTCTAGTTAAGACAGGTTATTAGGGTGGGGAATTACGAATTACGAACGCCTGTTATACAGGGTGTTGCAGCATGCTTTTGTGCAAGATATTCCCTGGAACTACTGCAAGCTGGGTGGACCGTCTGTATGTGGGTGCCTGGGCATGGTGCCAGGCCCGTCACTATAGGAAGGTGGGTGAACCAGCTGTATATGGGTTCCTGGTTATAGTACCAGTCCTGTAACTATAGCAAGCTGAGTGGACCAGCTGAATATGGGTGACTGGGTATGGTGTAACTATGGCTGAGTGGTAATGAGCTATATTGACAGGTCTGGCACAATATCCAGGCACCTACATATAGCTTGGCCACCCAGCCTGCTATAGTTATAGGCCTGGCACCATACCCAGGCACCCAACCTGTAGAAGCCCTCGTCTGGCAGTCACATTCTCAGGTTGTCAGTCTAACAACCTGCAAACATAACCAGACCTTATAACCTGTTCCTATAACAAAACTAATAACTAGAAGTTATAACTTCTAGTAATATAGTAGTAACTATCTGCCCATATAAATTCTTGCTGTTTTTGCCTTTGGCAATTTTGGCAAAAATCACTTATCATAATTACTATAATAACAGCCTTCAATGATAACTCACAGTAATAACGTTACGAAATAATCCTTCTCAAGGTAAATATATGTTATTGCAACCCGTTTATATTTGTTATTGAATAAGGAATAATATTTTTCATGCGAGATATTATGAGTACAAATTGTATTCTGGCATAATATTGCATCATGATGCAGCTCTTTGTGTCTATTTTCAAATTGATTAAGTGAATATTGTATTATGAAAAGCTTAAATAACGTAAAATAACGAATCAAATTATCAGCTGTAAAAAAAACTGTTGTATAAACTTGCTGTAATAACCTCTCGTAGTGATCTCAGGTGATTACCATCTGTAAAGAACAACAGCAATAACCTGCTTTAATAACCAGCAGTAATAACCTTTTACAAAAGTATGCCATTATAATCTACCTTAATAACCTACAGTAATAACACATCATATAAGCATGACGTAATAGCGAGCATAAATAACGCGAATAATTCCAGGTAATATCCAACTCAAATTATAAAACATAGAAACATGCTACATCATTCTATGTAATTAGCTCCTCTTAATTCCCCGATCCGGTAACCAGTGTTAACTATACTAATAACCCTTTCATAATAGACTGATGTAATAACCAAGCAATGCAATCAGTTTATGTAAATGATCAGACGTAACAATCAGTTGGTAAATTTATTATCCCTACTGATCTGTTATAATAACCCACACTTATAAAAAGTATCAAAATCCTGAAGGAATTTAATGATTGGTTTTTATAGCAGCCAGCTGATATAACACCCTGCAATTATAACTTGCACTAAAAAGCAACGAGAGGAGCCTGTTGTAATAATAACTCACAATATTTATCTACAATAACAGCCTGTTCTAATAATATCCTAGAGTAATAACCTATATGTTAAGTTTCTTTTTAATCTCCAATTATATCTTTTGCTCTTAGTCGCTTTTAATTGTTATTGAAGCCAAACATCTGAGGTGACTTCATGTTTCATCTACTGTTCAGGACTTTGGTCAATATGGACGGTTGCTGAGTTTATTATGTGTGTGGGGAATTATATTAAAATGTGAATTATCAGCATGCTCATGGGGTCGACCTGAGGACCGTCTGGACCCCAGCGGGTGACCCCACACACTGACCATGACTCTTCTTTATTAATAAAGTTCTCAACCATGTATTTTATTCACATCCTCTGGAGATCCGCCTGAACAATCAAATAATTCATCACAGTAGTCATCCGTATTAAACCACCACAATAACCCTCATAAATAATCCGCCACAATATTCCTCCATAACAATCGATCAAAATAATCCTCCATAATAATCCACTGCAATAACCCTCCATAATAATCAACGAGAATAATCCAACAGAGTAAGCCACCATGCTAACCCTCTATAATAATCCTAAACATAAACCCTCTAAAATAATCCAACACAATACTCCACAACTATTATCATCCATAACATTGCACCTCAATATCCCTCAATAATTATCCATTAACATAACCTTAAAAAAATGCCCAAATTAAACTCTGTAATAATCCACCACAATAACCCTCCATAATATTCCACAAGAATAATCCACAACCATAACCGTTTATAATACTCAAAAAGAAAATCCTTCAAAATAATTTACCACAATAATCTACCACAATAATCCAACACAATAATCCTCAATAATAAACCACAACAATAACCATCAACAATAAACCACCACAATAACCTCCATAATAATCCACCAAAATAACCTCCATAATAATCCACCACAATAACCTCCATAATAATCCACTACAATAAAACTGCATAATAATTCACCTCAATAACACTCCATACTAATCTACAACAATAACCCTATATAATAATCCACTACAATAACCCTCTAAAATTATCCACCACAATAATCCTCCATAATAGTCCACCACAATAACCTGGCTGGAAAAACCTACCTCCTTTAATAATTCAATTTACAATATGCAGATAATTGCGCTGCAGTTTTTGTACTAACATATTAACCAATACTAACACAAATTAATTTAATAACTCGTTCAAAGAAAACGATTTTCTGGTGGAATTTTCCCTTAAACAAGGGATATGTATTAAAGCCACGTCATTAAAATATCAACATCAAACATTTAAATTATCACTAAAACCTCCAGTCCAGTAGTAATTAATTAATTAATAAATAAAAAAACTGTTCCCTGTGACTGGATCAAATAAATTTAGAATTAAAACCTACACCTCCCACCTTTAGCCATAAATTCACACAAATTGAACCGGTTCTGGTGGCGTCACCAGCCGGGATGGAGGAGATAGACGGTCTTTGTGTAACCAGAGAATCTCTCGAGGGACGCACCAGAAGCAGGTACTACGGGCTCACTATAGCCCGTGCTACTTGGAGCTTTGTTCCAGGTAGCGAATCTTTAACAACAACCAGAAGCAGCTACGATTAACTCGTGACCCCGAGCCTTCTAGACGTTCTTCAGCTGCCGCAACTTCTTAATAACGAGAGTACCTCGAATCCGGTTGGTCAAAATAAGTCACATTTTATTACAGGCCCCTATAATATTATTTAATAACCAACCGGTGATGAGGCAGGCAAACTAGTAAAACAAGGTGAGCCTCTCACAATCACTCGGTTAACCATAATTCTGATCGTGCCACATCTGTGATAGGAAGTATATTTGCAGTTGTTATATTGTATTGTTCCGGCAGATCTTCTGTGGTCATCAGGGAACCAAGTGACATCAACCGCTTGCTTCACGTGGGAACAAACGCCATTGCCACGAGGCCTATACCTAACAGACTGCTCAAGTGTCCCTCTAATATCCAGAGTGAAGTCTTCTAATCAGATAAGACTGTCAGTTATTAAACTAACCCAAGTAAATTAATAAACTAACATTTAATAGAATTTTCCTCTCAGTCGATAAATTCTCGATTGATTGAAATTGAAATTGAAATTGAAATAAGTTTATTGAGGTAAAATACACACAAAGGGATGAGGTAGCTCAAGCTATTCTCACCCCGTTCAGTACAACGTGTTAGTACATACATAGACACACATCACAAACAATAAACCTGTTACCAAACATTCTGAGAGATAAACATGTACATTTCCTCCTTCACAAGTGGTATGGTATCAGACGTACACAAATACTTTTATGACCTAGTTATACGGATAATTCAACAAAATATTACAGTCTTGGTGCAAAATTCTTATATCTCTCAAGAATATCGTCAACCTTTCCTTTGTGACACATCCAGGCTATTTGCTCAGGAACAGTCCTTATCTCAGTGTTTCTATATACATTAATCAACGGACAATCAAGAACATAATGGGCAAGGGTGTGAGACCTTAACATACCACATAGTTTACACTTCGTGTCATTATCATGAACGCCTATCCCATATTCCCAGTAATATTTGTACCCAAGCCTGAGCCGCATGTACACAGAGTCACTCCAAGCATTTCTCCTTTTACCATAAGTGAAAAGGGTGTTTTGACTCACATACATGTAGTGTTGCATGGTTAGACTACTCTCATACATTATCCCTCTCCTCTCCACTCCTGCCTGTGCCTGAATATTTCTGATTTTGCTTCTTGTTTGTCTCATTGTGAATTCACATTCAATGTCAATTTGTGGTTTTGATGTGGCACGTTTGGCCAAGTCATCCGCCACCTCGTTGAGCACTATTCCAACATGAGATGGAATCCACATGAATTTCACACTATGACCTTTCAGCTGTATCTCAGCTATTCTTCTCTTACAATCCTCAACTATAGACATGAAGACTGGGTTTCGACTGTTTAAGGACTCCAGTGCTCCTCGGCTATCGACAAATACAAAAACATTTTTGTCGTCATGACGTACTTCCTCCAAACACGCCAGAATGGCCTGCAGTTCAGCTTGTGTGGATGATATATAATTACTAAGCCGGAGTTCAATTTTCCTGTCCACAGTCCCAAACTCCGTATATTCCCTTATTAGGACACCACACCCTGCCCTGCCATCCTCCGCCACCGACCCGTCGCAATATACATGTAAACTGTTGCCTCTTGGTAACCGGGATATCATGCTTCCATACATACACCGTAATTGTCCCGGTTCATGATGAATCTTTTTCACATTGAGGGGTACAATTTCGACGTCTATTTTCTGTACTTTCCAGGGAGCAGACATATTACCCTGTCGAGAGGGTTTACAGCAGTCAAGTACATCGTATTCCCTGAGGTCATGAGCTAATCCCCTCGTGTAGCGTGTCTCCCTCAGTTTCCTGGAAGTGTGTACGTCACTCAAGCAGGTCTGAACGCTCTCAAACAGCTTATCCCCTCCTTTTCTCCGCATGAAACGAATAGCTACTCTAGTGTTAATGTCACGGACTCTATCACACACACTCTGTAAATTTAATTCCATTCTCATTATTTCAATCATTGCATTTCTTTGACATCCAAGAATAATCCTCATAGCCTCGTTCTGTATCAGCTCTATTTTTTGAATTCTGCCTTGGCCTGTGTAAGACAAAACGGGTGCTGCGTAGTCTATCAGGGACCGAACAGTGCTTATGTATAACATCCGTAAGATAGGTACCCCAACACCTTTACCAGAAAAAGCCAGTGCTTTTAGAGGATGCAGACGGGCTTTACATAAGGTGCTGATATGATTTATTTCAGCATTCTTACTCTCACATGTGTATCCAACATACATGCCCAGATACTTGTACTTCTGAACACGGCTCAGTTCCACACCATTTAGAGTAAGTGTTATATTTCTTCGTTTCCTATACTCATATTTGGTTTTATCTGCATTTATAACTAAGCCTAACTTGTGACAGGTTAGGCAAGTATGTTAAGAGCAGTTTGAATTTTGTTCCCGGAAGTGCCTTGTATAAGAATGTCATCAGCATATATGATCGTCGTGACCCCTGGAGGATACATTTCTGATGCTAATCTGTTCATTAATACATTGAATAAGGTGGGACTTAATACTCCCCCTTGTGGGGTACCTAACTGAAACCTCCGTTCCTCAGACATGTATCCCTGATAATACACCTGACCTTTTCTGCCTTGTAGATAATCCCTTATCCAGTGTAACAATCTCCCTGTTATTCCCAGATTGATAGGCTACAATAATTAAATACCCACCCCCCCAAGTAGTGTTGGGATATGACTTGTGGGAGAATATAAATCCTTACAGTCAGCTCAATAAAACATACAGTCCACTAGGCTATCGGAAGAACTTATAAATAGATTAATTATACATCTTAAATACAAATTCTTTAAATAAATAAATAAATTAATAATTAAAATCAATTACATAATATCCCACCAGTAAAAATTCCCCCACATAACCCTCTATAATAATACACCACACTAATCCTCCATATAAATCCACCACAATAATTCTCCATAATAATTCATCGCAATAATACTCCATAATAATTCACCAAAATAACACTCCAAATTAATACATGATAATAACCCTCCAAAATCCTCCACAACAATAACCCTCCAAAATCATCCACCACAATAACCCTCCATAATAACCTCCCACAATAATCCACAACAATAACCCTCTAAAATAATCCACCACAATAACTGTGCATAATAATAATCCTCCACAATAACACTCCTTAAAGATACACAACAATAACCCTCCATAATATTCCACAACAATAACACTCCATGTTAAACCACTATAATTACCTTTTATATTAATCCACCACAATAACCCTCCAAAATTTTCAACTACAATAACCTTCCAGAACAATCCACTAGAATAACCCTCCATAATAATCCACAACAATAACCCAGCATAATAATACATACACAATACCCCTCTATAGCAATCTACCATAATAATCCTCCATAATAATCCAACACAATAACCCTTCAAAATAATCCACGTCATAAACTCACCATAATGATCCACAACAATAAACCTCCATAATAATCCACCACACCAACCCTGTATAATAATCAACCACAACAACCCTCCATAATATTCCACCACAATAACTCTCCATAATAATCCACCACAAAAATCTAAAAAAATAACACAATAACCCTTAAAAATATTCCATCACAATAATCCTCCATACTAATCCACGACAATAACCCTCAATAATAATCCACCACAATAAACCTCTATAATAATCCACCACAATCATCCTCAAATTTGATCTTCGTAATGAATGAAAAGTAGACTTTCCAATAATATGTAAAGAAAAATATCCAACAAGATTTGATTACCTGCAAGGATAGAAGGGAATCATCAGGGGAAGCACCAAGCCATTGCAACTATATAGCACTGGAAAGGGATCAGGATGAGGATTTGGGATGGAACGGGGGAAGGAATGGTGCGCAACCACTTGGACGGTCGGGGATTGAACGCCGACTTGCATCAAGCGTAAGTGGTAAGGTAAAGTACCTCTGTACTTCAATGTCATGTACTTAATTAACCTTTTCTAAGTTAACTTATCAAAACTTAATTTTTCCAAAGTTATGATGGAATATTTATCTTGAGTTGTCGAATTACTGGACCACTGGACCCTGTACTGTCCCCATCGCGCAGTGGTAAAACACTTACCCTGCGTCAGGGTGCGAGTGTTTAGTACTCACTAAACCTTTTAGTACTGGAGTACTAAACGTGAGAGGTCAAGGAAGTACACCAGTACTAAACGTGAGAGGTCAAGGAAGTACACCAGTACTAAACGTGAGAGGTCAAGGAAGTACACCAGTACTAAACGTGAGAGGTCAAGGAAGTACACCAGTACTAAACGTGAGGTCAAGGAAGTACACACCAGTACTAAACGTGAGAGGTCAAGGAAGTACACCAGTACTAAACGTGAGAGGTCAAGGAAGTACACCAGTACTAAACGTGAGAGGTCAAGGAAGTACACCAGTACTAAACGTGAGAGGTCAAGGAAGTACACCAGTACTAAACGTGAGAGGTCAAGGAAGTACACCAGTACTAAACGTGAGAGGTCAAGGAAGTACACCAGTACTAAACGTGAGAGGTCAAGGAAGTACACCAGTACTAAACGTGAGAGGTCAAGGAAGTACACCAGTACTAAACGTGAGAGGTCAAGGAAGTACACCAGTACTAAACGTGAGAGGTCAAGGAAGTACACCAGTACTAAACGTGAGAGGTCAAGGAAGTACACCAGTACTAAACGTGAGAGGTCAAGGAAGTACACAAGTACTAAACGTGTGAAGTCAGGTTAATACTCCAGTACTAAACGTGAGATGTCGTGGAAGTACTACAGTACTAAACGTGTGAGATGTAGGAAGAACATCAATACTAAACGTGTGAAGTTAGGGAAGTACTCCATTAGTTAGGGTGTGAGGTCAAGGAAGTACTCCAGTACTCAAGGTGTGAGGTCAAGGAAATCCAGTACTAAGTGTGTGTGGTCAAGGAAGAACTCCAGTACTCAAGGTGTCAGGTCAAGGAAGTACACCAGTACCAAACGTGTGAGGTCAAGGAAGTACACCAGTACCAAACGTGTGAGGTCAAGAAGTACTCCTTGTAAACTGTTAAGGTAAAAGGAAGAGGATCGGTTCTGTGGGGTCGACGTGTGGACCGTCGTGACCCCCAGCGGGTGACCCCAAACACTGACCATGACTTTTCTTCATTAATAATGTCCTCAACCCAGTAATTTGTACACCTCAGGAAAGGTGTATATATTACGTGAGTTAGGAATTTTATTAATAGTTTGAATAAAGGAAAATAACCAGTCTTAATTATCAGCCGTTGGAAACTGCAGTATTATCCTGGTGTAATAACCGCTCGTAGTGGTAATTCAGGTAATTAGTGGTTAGTTAATGATTATAATAGTGGTTATCTCAGGTAATTAACAACTGTAAATATTATCAACAAATACTTGCAGTAATAACCGGAAATAATAAAGGGAAGTAATAACCTTCTGTAAAAGTTTGACATAATAACTCGCCCTAATAATCTCCAGTAATAACACATCATAATAACCTGACGCAATAACGTACAAAAATAACATCAAGTTATTTACTCACGTAATATCTTACATAAATTAAAAAAAAAAATGTAAAACCCTGTTCAACAACTTCCTCATAACTCCGTGCCCCAATAACTTTCTTCAATATCCTCACGTAATAACTTCCAGAAATATCCTCGTCCTAATAGTCTGGTGTAACCAGCCTTAACAACCAGCCTGTGTAAATGATCAGACTTAACAATCAGTTGTTAAAACTTTCATAGTAACCTGTAATAACAACCCGCCTCACTAACCAGCAACAATATTAATAAACATCAAGCTGGAATAACAACCTGCTGTTATATCCTGCTTGTAATAGCTTATTATAGCTACTTATAATATAGTTTTAATAGTTTTCTGTAAAAATATCCCCAAGTAATAACCTACAATAACACCCTTTTGTAATAATAACCCATAGTAATAACCTACAAAAATTCCCTGTTGTAATAATATCCCTTTAGTAATAATCTTCAATAATAGCTTGTTTTAATAATAACCTGCAGTAATTTTGCAATATAAAATATTATATTAAGAATCATTTAAACCCAATTATATCTTTTGTTTTAATAGTCGCTTTTAATTTATTAATGAAGCCAAACTTCTGAGGTGACTTTATGTTTCATCTGCTGTTCAGAACTTTATTCAACATGTTCAGTTGCTGAGTTTGTTACGTGTTTTGGGTAATTATATTAAAATGTTGACTTAAGGTAAAAGGAAGAAATGCGTGAACATCGGGTCGACCTGAGGACCGTCGGGACGCAAGCGGGTGACCCCAGACATTGACCATGGTTCTTCCTAATTAATAAAGCCATCAACCCAGTAATGACCCAGCATGACTTCTCCTTCTCAGGTGATCCGCCTGAACAACTAAATAATTCACCATAATAACCCTCCATAATAATCCACCACAATAACCCCTCAAAATAATCTGCCACAATAACCCACTTCAATAACATTTCATAATAATCCACAACAATAACCCACTATAATAATCCACCACATTAACCCTCAATAATAATAATCCATCACAATAATCCACCACAATAACCCTACATAATAATCCTTCACAAGAACCCTCCAAAATAATCCACCACAATATCCTTCATTAATAATCCACGAAAATAACCCACCATAATAATCATAATAATCCACCACAATAACTTTCCATAATAATCCACTACAGTAACCCTCCAAAATAATCAACCACAATAACCCTCAATAATAATCCTCGACAATAACCCACCATAATAATCCACAACAATAACCAACTACAATAATCCACTACAATAACCTTCCATAATAATCCACTACAATAACCCTCCAAAATAATCCACCACAATAACCCACCATAATAATCCACCACAATAACCCACCATAATAATCCACCACAATAACCCTCCATAATAATCCACCACAATAACCCACCATAATAATCCACCACAATAACCCACCATAATAACCAACAGTTTACACGGCACACAACCCACTCTACTGACACTGTCACTGGGCCAGGAACTCTTAGTTTGGTAAGAAATGTAAAATATCGGGAAAACTGCCACCCAGCTATAGTGACAGGCCTGGCACCATACCCAGGCACCCATATACAGCTGGTCCACCCAACTTGCTATAATGACAAGACCTACCACCATATCCAGACACATAATGTTATGACCCAAGGTAGCCTGGGGAAACGAGTCTACCTGATGAGAGTTTATTTTGCATTTCTGACAAGAGATTAAGAGGTCAGAGGAAGAAATATATATAATAAACATCAATGAATATTTAATAATACAGGCAGAGAATGAGCATCTTGTCAATGTTACTGGAGATAGGATGTCGACAGTTTGTGACATTATGTGACGCTAGCAGACATGGTATTGCCCCTTGAGTTGCCGCAGTCGTCAGAGGTGAACGTGCGTTCCAGTGGTCCAGGAATATTGAAGAATACGGCTATGTATGAAGTATTTGAGTGCCGGCTACAGTGCATGACTGTTGAAGAAGCTGCCGAGTGTGTGACGCACGTTAATTCTCGGTATTTATGAAGATTTGGAGACGACCTGACGTCTTATGGTGGTCGTACCTGTGTGGAAATACAGTTATAGGATGAAGACCTAAGGGAATATTTGGAGTGTTTTCAGTTGGTAGCAGCCAAGGAGGTTGTATTGTAATATAACTTTTTTTGTACATATTCATGTGTATGTTTTTTTGTATTGTTTCATTTGTTAGATGGTTTTTGCTCTTGTCCTAGTGAGACTTCTTGGTTAGAGAGAGAGAGAGAGAGACGGCTGTAACTTGGGTGATATTGGACAATAACTCATCAAAGGGGAATTTAAGAGATCATCCCAGAATAAGAAAATTGCGGGGAGTCACGGCGGCTCGATTTGAGTGTGTCCTCATGACAATTAGGCAGTGGATCAGCACCCCTGAATAATGGTGACGCTGAACCCCTCTTCAAGATCATGACGCTTTCCAAGGTGATCTCCCAAATAATTGCAAGCACTCCATTGTCCATCCTGGTCGACTGACAGACAGCATAAGAAGTGTGGCTGTCATGGTTGGTCATATTTCTGTCAGGGAGTGGTTGGGGTCTCTGTTCGACAGTAGCCTAGTACTGTATCAGGTTGGTTAAATAACCAAGTTTCAAAGAAAATCTCCAACCCCCAGATAGAATTGGGGTCCAGTCCGGGATTGAATTGACACACCCACAGTTCGAGTCCAGGAGGTTGGACTGACACACCCATAGCAGCTGTAGGTAGCACATAACTGTTTGACGATTATCTCTCTCTCTCAGGAAGACTCCCGGAACAGGAAGGATAGGGTGCAAGCATTTGTAGAGCCCAGCAAGCCTGAAGATGTAGAAGGGTGCACAAGGGACCAGTTAAGACAAATTGCGGAGAAATGTGGTGTTAGGGTTAAGTCATCCAAAGTGGCTGGAATAAAGGAGGAGATCCTTAGGCAGTTGAAAGCTAGGAATGAAGTGGTAGAACAATGAGCCCAGAAAAGAGGTGAAGGTGGAAAGGAAGATGCCAAACGAGACGAAGTGTGATCCCAAGGATCAAGTAGGAATACTCGCAGTAGTAGGAGTAGCTGCAGTAGCCGAAATAGGCGAAATATAATCTTGGAAAGGTTTCAGGTAGATCTCCAGATGGAACAAGAACGTGAGGACAGAGAGGCAGTTCCAACTAGAGAGGTTGAAGCAAGAATTAGAGGTAGAAAAAGAGAAAAGTAAAGTGGAACAAGAAAAGGAGATAATTAAATTAGAGGAAGAAATTGAAAACGAAAAAACCAGGGTAAGGGAACTGGAGCTAGAACAAGAGAAAGAGAAAACAAAACTGGAAATAGAAGCAAACAGAGCTTTGTCAGAGCATGGAATTGAACGTGGTTTGCCAGAGGGCACCACACACGTGTGGTGTCACAGTGAACTCTGTCTCTGTGAACTCCCACAGGATCACAGAGTTAGAGAAAAAGATATTCCACTGTTTGTGCCGGAGGAGTCAGAAAGCCTCATCGACCACTTTGAGAAGGTAGCCGACATCAAACAATGGTCCAATTACGGTTGACTGGTGCTGCCAGAGAGTGGCAGAACCAGTCAACCTGGTCTGACTACTGGATTGTGAAGAACAGCAGATTGTGTTCGTTTCAGTTAACCCCTGAAGCAAATAGGAAGCGCTTCAGAGAAATGACGAAAGCTCCTGCAAGCACATTTGCCGAGACAACTAGAGACCTGGAAAGGCGTTTCCAGAGGTGGATGGAAGCTGTCTGGGTGGAATTTCATAATGATCTAAAACAGTTGATGATCATGGAGAAATTTCTAGAAATGATGCACCCCGAGACGAAATTCAAGATCCAAGAGGCAGGAGTAAGAAATGTGAGAGACGTAGCAGAGAGTGCAGATATGATTACAGAGGCTTATCAGAGCGATATGATTACAGAGGCTTATCAGAGCCTGAGGGAAAACAGATGGAAAAGTGATGTGAGTCATAATTATGGGAGACCCAGGGGAGCCTGGGGTGAGAACAATTTTGTTAGATGAGCGAATAGACGAAAGTGTCCTAAAACACAGAAAAGGAGGTCATATACCTCATCTGAAAGTGAGGATGAAGGAGTTGAGCGAGAAACTAAGTATGTTCCATGGAGTCAGGAGCCAGATTCACGAAGCAGTAACACAAGTACTTACGAACGTGTACATCTTTCCTCATACTTTGACGGCTTTGG